GTCCTGCACCACTTGCCATTGCCACTGGAATTGTCCGCAGCCCAGGGCAATTTGCCCATGGGTGCTTCAGATGTGGAGGCCCCCTGGAGTAAATATGTGCCACTGGCTGGCTCCTGCACCACTTGCCATTGCCATTGCAATTGTCCACAGTCCTGGCTCTGTTACATTCTCACCGATCCCCCTAAGCTCTCACTAGGAGGGGCACCTATACTTGGACATTCAACGCAAAATTAATTCAAACACGTGGTTTTGCATCCAGATGTTTAAGAAATATTAGAAATTATTCCTGAATGTGAGTGACATACCAGAATAATTTCCAGCATCGATGTGACTAGGGGTCAGAATAATTTATAAATTCTTCCAGGGGGGCCTTGAGAGGGGGTCCCCTTAAGCCACGGCCCATCATGTATGCGTGCTGGAGAAACGTACATACCTCAAAGTTCCGAGGTATGTTTGTGCGCGTGTTTTGTGGAACACGTGCATGCCCTGTCTCTCTCCCTGCCTGCATACGTGCATGCATGTATATATGTACCACTCCATACGCTGGCCGACTGATGAAGCTTAGACAAGAATGGACAAATGGTGTCAACGTGGATTTTCCACGTCTTATATAACAGAACAAATCTGCGTCTCAATTCTCAATCACAAAAACTCGCTGCTGAGCATGGTCTTGGTGTTTGTCGCTTCCAACCATCGCCAGGGACAGGGATTTGTCATGAGCCCCTCCAGCGCCGAATGGCTGCTCCTGTTTAAGAATTTCTCGTGTGCATCAAATCTGGTTTCTCATGACTTAGGGCCACGGTCGACCTCCACCGTTTAGAAAGACCATGAGCGGGGCTTCAAATCTTCAGCCTTCCGTTGGATCCTACAAAGTCTTGTGATCTGGCACCCTTAGAAAAAACAGAAGGTGGACCATGGTCGACCAACATGTAGGTCTGCAACATGATGTAACATGATATTTCTTGGCCTAACTCATCCGACGCATGTTTTCAAACCATGTTACACACTTTGAGGATCTCTTCACTCAAGACGAGCTATTCTCTAATTCAACATGTTTTGGGCAATGCCATTTGCCGTGACCTCGAAATCTCGGAATATTTTACAAAAGCAAGAACAAGGACGCTACTAGGAGCAAAGGGCATCGCTACTAGGAGCAAGGACGCTACTAGGGGCTCCTGGCCATACTACTAGGAGCAAAGAAACTACTAGACAACTATGACTTGGAAAAGTACGCATCTTGACCGCGGTGCTTTCGCTAGGTTCCTTCAACCAGCATATACCTTTGTTTGGTCGGCTTCTTCATCTCCACATTGGGGTTGCAACATCCTTGAACCATCCACAGGCATTTGAACATTTCGCAGCGCACTTCAATAATGAAGCCTTCTTAGACTTCACAGGAGCATTGATATGCCGATTTAAAAGCACGTGGCAAGAGCGGATGCCCTCAGGACAAGACATTCCAAGTCAAACACTCTGAAGATAGGTCAGTTTTCTCATACAGTAGAGACCGATCTTCTAGTATGCCAGGCATCCATCGTTGAGCTCCATCTCAGGTCAACAATCACACATATTAGAGTTCTGATCAACACTAATTCTCTCACTTGGAAAGTAGCATTGGTTTGCATAAAGATGATGCAGCTGATTCCGACGTTGGGTTTTGAGGTCTGTACGCTTGTCAGGGACCGGGTAACGTACATACTTCCTTTTTGCACGACCCAGTGTGCCGCAATATTGCTGGCATTTTGTAATGTCTCTTTGTTTGTCGGTGTATTATGAGCGAATGAGCGAACGAATGAATGAATGAGGGAATGAATGAGGGAAAGAACGGATGAACGAATGAAAAAAGTGAAACATGACATGACATGACATGACATGAAATGAGTGAATGAATGAACGGATGAATGCATGAATATAAATTAATGACTTCCAAATGTTTGTACGAATGTATGCATGAATGTTCGTATGTTGTGGGAAACGTACCTATTCCAAAAGGTTGTCTTTGGAGGCATGTGTTTTCCGATAGAACAAGGCCTCCCTCAAAGTCAGGGCGGGGGTATGTATACTACCCCTGCAAACCCGCCAAGTGGACATACATATGTACATGCATGCATATCTGGGGGCCCACAACTAGACTAGACCAACTAACATATTTACTGACCCCCAAGCATATGTATGTGTCTTGTTCTTTGGGTTCTTACTCCACATGAGTTCACTTTGCTCAGGTGCTGATGGGCACTCCCATTTACATCGAGGATCATGTTGAATCATTTTGGATGCATGTTGGTTTTTGCAATGTCAGTCACTCTGGCCGCTGCAATCTCAATGCGAAAGTCAGCGGTTGGTTTGTTTTAAGCTTATTATATATATATATTTTTTTTTCCCGAAAGCATTGCGAAGGGTTCTTCCGGAAAATCCTTTGAACACTGACACTTCGACACTTACACTTCGACGCTCACACTGACACACTTACACTTCGACACTCACACTGACACACACACACACACTGGAAGAGCGAAAGCATCCAAGTGTGAAGTATGCCAGGGTCAAAGTATGCAAGTGTGAGTATGCAAGCATGCAATGACTAGCACGGGAGATGTCCTAATGAAAAAACATTTCCCCACTTTATAAATTCTCTCTTAAAGGCGGAGGGTGGGACGAACAGCGTCAACCGAAAGTGCAACCCTCTGCGGAGATCGTGCGTGTGGAGTGCGCGAAATGCAGGCGAGAGTGCGATTTGCCGGCTGTGCGCGCAACCCTCTGCGGAGATCGTGCGTGTCGAGTGCGCGAAATGCAGGCGAGAGTGCGATTTGTCCGGTGCGCGCGCAACCCTCTGCGGAGATCGTGCGTGTCGAGTGCGCGAAATGCAGGCGAGAGTGCGATTTGTCCGGTCCGCGCGCAACCCTCTGCGGAGATCGTGCGTGTCGAGTGCGCGAAATGCACGTGAGAGTGCGATTTGCCGGCTGTGCGCGCAACCCTCTGCGGAGATCGTGCGTGTCGAGTGCGCGAAATGCAGGCGAGAGTGCGATTTGTCCGGTTCGCGCGCAACCCTCTGCGGAGATCGTGCGTGTCGAGTGCGCGAAATGCAGGCGAGAGTGCGATTTGTCCGGTCCGCGCGCAACCCTCTGCGGAGATCGTGCGTGTCGAGTGCGCGAAATGCACGCGAGAGTGCGATTTGCCGGCTGCCCGCGCAAGCCTCTGCGGAGATCGTGCGTG